AGTGCTCAGCCAGTCAGGGGTTAAGGAATTGGTTGGGGCAGCAGTTCTTCATTAACTTCTCCAGTGCCGCCAGATGATGATGATGAATTTTGTATAAAATGCTTAAATACCTGCAATTTAACTTTTGTCGGGTGTCGTCCATCTCCCCGCGATTCGCGGCTTAGCCCCCTTAGTCCCTTAACCCCACGAGGGAGGGGGTCTCTCGAAAGGAGCCAGTCTCGTCCAGGACATTTCAATATGCAGCTCCGCGTGTTTCCTTTAATTTAAATTGACTTCTCTTGGGAAGGACACGGCGATTCCCAGCGGATTTTTTCGGAGCTCGCCAGTCGGGTCAGAAACTAATCAAAAAGCTATAAAAACTTTTTCATGTAGTGTTTGTGAAGATTTTAGAGAGGATGAAAAAGGGGGAGATTTTTCCATGTACTTAAACTATTTTTATATTTTTTAAGATGGGGCAAATTATTTTTTTTATTTTTTTAAATTGATTATTGAATTTTAGTAAAATTTAACATGCATATATTAAATACTTATAGGAAATGAAAATGGCTTTCAAAATTCTTATAAAGGGAACTTTAATATCGTAATCAAGGTTTAACTAGGTCTTGGTGAGTTTAAAATTTCTTATATATTAAAGAGTATTTTCTTCACAGATTTAAATCAAACTTACAGCAATTACAAGAAATTTTCTCACATTTGCCAGCTACTTGCCTTAAAGTTCAATATAATTTCCGAGCTGCACTTTGCAGCAACTGTCATTGCAATTGTGCATACAAGTACACATAATTAATTAAGGAGCTGACATATACCGCCTCCGGCATCCCTGCAATCCCTGCCAAGCCCCTCATTGTCCTTTTCTTCGCGCAGTCATCATCATTCTTTCCCATCCTTTTGCTAACTGAAATGTCAAAAATGCAAGTGACAAGTGTGAAAAAAGGACGAGCTGAAGAAAAACAAAAGCCAAATGAGGACACACATGGCCGTGGGGGCTGTGGTGGCTTTTCCGGCTGGGAAAGGAGGGCGAGTTTCCATTTTCTGAGGGGCTTTCCTTTGCCCTTTTCCCTTATGCCATTGTCTGCTTGAAGACGCAGCGCGTTCGTGCAAAGCAAAATAAATTGAAATTTTAAAATGTATGAAATTAATTTTTGGCGTCGGTGACTGGGCTAAAAAGTTCTCTCCAACGCCTCAGATGATATCACATGATTATTTATCTTTTACGCACACTTACACATCGCCCGACACATATGCAAAGGACGTGGGTCCTGGTCCTTTTCCATTTTCCACTCTCTAAGTCTCGTGTCCTGGGCCTGACACTTGCCAACACACTTTGTCAAGTTTTTAGTATGTTGTCAGCGATTTCCCACTCCCCGGCCAACACTTTTGCCTTTTTGTCTTAGCCCTTTTAAGCCATTTGTCAAACACTTGGCATGACGTCATGTGTGGGTGGAGTACAGAGAGGAGAGTAATTTTTTGAGATATCTTAGGGTATTTACCACTTCGATTTGGGCGGTGTTGGTCGCAAATTTACATATAGATTAGCAACAGCACAGACACACGAACGGACACTTGATGCGGGCCTTCAATGCACTTTGCTCAGCCCTCTACCGATTTTGATGACGATGACGATGTCTGCAGTGCATAAGTGGAAATCATTAAGTGCCCGGCCGCATCTTGTAAACCGGTGCGTAATCCTGCAGACCCATCCAAAACGGAGCATGCACTGAAAAAAATAAGAAAAATAGATTATAAAATCACACTTAAATATTCCATATATATATTTCTGTGTTATTTTTGTAATTTTTATCGTAAAAATATTAAAATCTATTAATTATAATACTTTTACTAGAACTGAACTAAAACCATTTTTTATAAACGTTTTTTCTTTATCTTTTTATTAACCTTTCATTTTTTCCCAGTGCACGGTCAATTGTTTACAGAACTGAACTGGCAGGCTCGGCATTGTTGCCATTTCCGTTCCGTTTCTCTCTCTGGAGCCCATTGTCCATGGGTTGAAAATCCCCTGACAACACTTTGGCCCTTTCACAATGTGCAAAAAGAAAATTTCTGCGAGCAATCCTTGAACAATGCATGAAATAATTGCACAGACCGGACTGCAGAACCGGGATGAGTGGTTAGGGGCGGGCAGTCGAGGTCCTTGCAGGGAGACATAATGATGGGCCGCTGGATATTGGCCGATGATGGGCATTAAAACGCGTATGATGAGGCTTAAGTAGTTACACACACACACATCGCACAATTGGGACTCTTTGGCTGTGTGTCCTGGAAAAGGACTCGTTGGGGCTTAAGTGATGCTAACATATTGTCCATACATGCAGTTTCCTGGGTTAGGGTAGAACTTCCTCTGAGATGATATTTCTTCGCCATGATTACTGTGACTGCATATTGGCTAAATGAAAATCTGTAGCAGAAATTATAAATAATGTTACGGTACGGGAAAAATTATACATGGCTGATGAGCAAGGTGAATGCGGATTGATGTATTAACATCTGTCGTGAAATTCTGAAGGGGGAATGAACATACATGTAAAGCGATAGATAAGGTTGGTTAACTTTCTATCTAACAGGTTTTGCCTTTTAGAATTTTGTATGCCTGAATCATATTAGTTTATTATATTTTATTTATTTATTCTTCGCAAAGAAAACTTAAAATCAAGATTATAAGTTATATTTTTTGTTGGATTAAACAACTAATTGATATGATATGTTAGAACTGCAAGAGAAAAAATATTTAATTGTCTTTTTGGCCAGATTAAAACTAGCTTTTCAGTGACTAGGTTTAGGGTTAACTTTTGTTTTAAAGCATTTATGTAGTTATTCTAATTGTAAAGTTTAGGAATAACTGAAATGTCAAAAATGCAAGTACTTAATACAATTAAGTACAACGAAGTACTTAAATACAATTTTATCAGAATTATTTTAATAAATTCAGAAATATTTGTATGGTGCTGGCTTTAAAATAAGAAAAGGTAACTTCACCTACTTTTATTTTTTATAAACTGATCTATATTTTGATAACCATATTAAAAGGTTTAATTTTAATCACGTTCTGACATCATTAAACCCAGTTGTTTGAAAATACAATCGAAATGGGAATTTAAAGCTCTGTTCAGCTCATTAGCTGTCAAACGCCAAAAGAGATATTATCCAAGCCATAGCTTTTATGCTAACTTTTCCAGTCCCTTCAAGTTGGGCAAATCGATACCCAGCGACCTTGAGCTTGGCATTTATATGTGTGCAAGAATATAAAGAGCACGTGCTGTCAACTGTGTCAAGAAAAGCTCACCCACTCTAAACCCACAATTTCTTTGGAGGAGCTGTGCTCCCTAAACGAATTTCATTGTCAAGGTCGCACGCACAAAAGTGGAGAAGAAAAGCAGAAAGTGGGAGAAAACGCCGGCCGGCATGACCTTGAGTCCGAGTGAGTGAGAAAAAGCTTTTGCCGGTAGGAGACTTGTGGAATAGCACCCACAAGCGGCGGACCCTTGGCCTTCGCGATGGCCTTGAAACTTTGTTACAGCTCCCTCGGCAAAAATGTTACATGGAGGGAGGAAATAAGCTCAATTGGCATTCTGCTTCCTGCTCCCCGGGAATCTTTTTCTAAAATGTTAAAGTGCTACAGCTTAAGTGACATTTATTGAACATGGCAAAAAGGGGAGAAGATTGGAAAAAGGGATTTAAAATGCTAGTAACTACTTCTAGTTTGACGGGTTGAAATATTTAATTTATTTCTAAAAAATAAACTAATCTAATAGTTGAAAGTCATGCAGTATGCATCACAAATTTGTCACTGTATCTAAAGGAAAATTTTTTAAGACCCTTTAACTCCGCCACTGTTTTTCTGCGCTTGCAACTGTACGGGAACAGCTTATCATAATGGATGAGCTGCAGCTCACGCAGGAAAATAGGGGAGCTATACAGGAGCCAACACTTTCCAAGGTTAATATTGTCGTCAGCGGAAAATGTTTGCGGGTGTTGGAAATGATTTAGCTTGAAGGTCAGTCCATTTGGATGTTCTTTGGGTTGGTCAAGTTTAAGGTTGCTAGGGAGTAATCCTCAAGGACCATTTAACACGGTTTTTGCTTTAAGGATTTGGCTTTCAAGCGTTTTTGAGTTGAAGGAGGTTTATCTTAAAAGCAGGTTACTGGTGCGGTTACAAGTTGAAGGCGACCTTATGGAGAATTACTTTCTTTTAATTACGTTTAGCAGTGCTAGCTACTTATAAATGTTCTTAGATATATGACACGATAAATATAACTGTAATGTAATTGTTTAATATTATTTTATTAATTAAGAAATACATTAATCTGAAAATGTGAATAACACAGACTTTTCGGGTCATGGTCTAATAAGTCACAAAAAATCAGTTTCTATGTAAACCAAAAACCCCTAACAAACAATTGTTGATTCATACGCTGAGGAAAGTGATTCTGCATCCAAATTCGAACTTCGAAAAGGCAGAACTGCGAACCAACTTCCCCTCCAAATGAATAGACTCAGCTAGGCCAAGCAAAGTCAAGGAAATCCCTTAAATTCGAAAGGAATTCGAAACCACCCCCTTGAAAAGCGAACTCTCGACGAGCTTACGTTTCAATTGACGTAACAGTACTACGTAAAATGTTTTTCCCCAATTTCTCTCTCATTTTTTGATTCTCTCTCTCCGTTTCCTAGCCACGTTCCCTCCCCCTTTCAGTTCCGCAGTAAAGGTAACAAAGGCAACCGTGTCTTTTGGGGTGGCAAACTGGCGGTGGTGGTGGCACTTGGTCGGTGGTGTGAGTCCCTGTGGTTGGTGGCTCAATTGGTTGGTTGTTGGCATAAACAAAGCACACACACAATACAGACACACACACTTCCTGGGGGGTGGTGGCAGTTGGGAGGGTGGCATTCACCGCGAGAGAGCAACGCTGCTTCCTATAGGAAAAGGCAGAGAGCTATTTTATAAATGTGACTGCAGCAAGGATATTTACAGTCAGTCCACGCTGAAACCTCGAGCAGAGAACATTGAATAACAAGCGGAAGCGAAAAGCGCACAGCCAGAAAAGTTCGTCGAAAAGCGACAAGTTTTCCTCGTACGTTTTCCCGCCAAATGAGTCAGAGAAATTATCCAAGTGCTTGTAACTAAAAATAAAGACTTGAAAGAACAGAAAAGTGCAAGCAGTGAATGGAGTAAAATATTCCAAGATATAAAAAATCAAAACTTTTAAAATATATACCGTACCAGCGATATATATTTTATACAAATTTATACAAAAAATTTAAAAATCCAAATTTTGTATAAAATAATAAACTACAATGGCCATCGCCTACTTTATACCCGATCAGGCCCAATTGTTGGCCGGCAGCTATCAGCAAAATAGTCAGCAGGCGACAACGAGTCCGAGGACAACTGCAACACCTGCTGCTCCACCGCAGCAACCGCAATCATCGCAGCAGCAACATCAGCAGCAGCAACATCGTCCTCAGTTCCGTGCCAACATTTCCGTGCCGTTGGGAAGTCAACAGGGATCGATGACCATGTCGGAGTTCGGATGCTGGGACCTTCTGGCCCAGATCTTCTGTTACGCGCTGAGAATCTACAGCTACAATTCCAGCCAGCGGCGACCGACGGTCATTCAAATATCCTTCGAAATCAGCAGCGGCAGTCAGAACAACGATGACGACGATGTGACCGATGCCAGCTCCAAGGAAAACTAAATTCGATTTCCATTCTTCATCCGGATGGAGGGAAGGTCCTTGCGATTTTCCGGGAAAGGCAGGCTCAATCAAAGCGCATTGTGATTTCTTTTTTGGGTATGGACACACGAGGAGGAAAGAGTTTTGTAAAAAATGGGATATTTCCACAACAAAAAAAGAAAACTATTTTTAAACTATTTTTGAGAGAAAGGAGAGAGGAAAATTCAAAATTTGTCATCGATTTGCTTAAAGTGATATTGATTGTTTGTTACTTTTTTGGGTGTCAAATTTTCCGATTTTAGTTTGAGGAAAATGTTTATATTTGCAAGCAAAGGTTTCCCGGTCGGTTCAAATGCATTACTACTTATCATCATTTTGAGAGCAGCAAGAAAAGTGTGTGTAATTATCATTAACCTAATTGGTGTCTATACATACGAGTACTCAAGTAAAAACTAATTGTCAAATTTTTGCATTTCAACTACTTACATATATATAGTCTAAACTAATAAATACAGAACTACAGTACAGAACCAACAAACAAACAAAGATGCAACCGCAGCAACAAGAACAACAAAAGACAACAACTCAATTGTACAAAATAGATTTTAAGCAAACAGCAAATTTTATATGTTTACAAAAATAAAAGAAATTGAAAAAATCTAGCTACAAAAAAAAGAATACAAGAACCGCCGAACAGAAAAAATAATAAATACATTGTAAACCAAAATGAAACAAAGCAACACATTTAAGCAATTTTGATACGAATAATCAAGAATATTAAAAGTCGAAATGTATTTTACCATTATTATTGATTTTAGCAAAATTCAAAATATTTTATTTTCATTTTTGGCATTGCAAATTAAACAAAAAAATATTTAAATTAATCGAATGTAAAGAATTAGTATTTGTAAGCATTTAAAATTTTTATAAGACAAACATGCAAAAAATAAATACAATTTTATAAAAAAGAAAACCTGTATTTGTGTTTTATTCTATTTTTTCATATGAAAAAATATTCTACAAGATAAGAATGGAAACTAACTGAAAAAAAATGAATTCCTTAAATTTCCCAAATAACTTTCCCACGACACAAGCCTTAAAAATCTATCAAAATGTAGAGGATGAAGAAATCATTAAATATTTATTAAATATTTGTTTATATGTATGGTAACTTTCCAACAAGTTTATTTAAAAAAGCTTAATTTATAAAATCGAGCTATCCGGATATCATCGTTTAAAATTTTATAAATGGTTTTCTATTTTACAGACGTCGTTTTTGGCTCAGCTCTATTTTATAAAATTTTAACTTTTACTTATAAATATTTCAACAAGAGAACCATTTTTATTCATACCTTTAAAGTCAACCACTATTGAACTAAACCCCTTAACCCCTTAAACGAAATGGCAAGGGGCTACCATTCAGGCAGGAAAAGGAGGAGTATGCAGACATTTAGCGATCTTTATCGTGAAAACCAATATGTCACCTTGAAAGGGAAAAACCATTTTTGGTTAGGCGCAGACGGGCAGAGAGTTTTCCCGTTGTGTCATGCCAGGCACACTCCGCCCAAAAGGGTTAAAAAGCAAGGGCTACGCTTAACCGCAGATCTCAGTCTGTGGCGGCAATGTCCAAGTCATCGGGGTCAAAGGGAAAGAGGGTGTACCCTTTAACGCACCCGGAAACCCATTTAACCCCGGCAGTGGAAAAAGTGTAACATCTGTGGCAGCGAGCGATCAGCGGCGCCTGATAAGTTCGCCAGTCAAATAATAATTATGCAAACATTTCGGGCCGCTAATTTGCCGCCTATCTTAATTTAAATCGCTCAAAAGCGCACTGGAACCAGCGAACAAAAAATTGTTTAATTGTCGTGACATGACAATAAGTGACCTGGAAATTAGGGTCCTTCGCTAACCTTTTTTTTCGCGTGTGGCTTGATTTTTTGGCGATGATAAGCCAGGGTTAAATTATAGGGTATGCAAATGCTCTTATAGTGTCGGTCGCGTGTCCTGGATCGAGTTTTTATTCGGCTTTGTTTTCAACTGGAATTCCTTTTTAGCGCCTGCAATTATGCTCAGCAGAGAGACAGTTTATGATAACATATTTGTAGTTAATTTAGTTAAATTAGTGCCACATATGTTAAACTGATCTGAGATAGCTGGGAAAGGTGGAAATTGAAAGTGGCTGGATCTGTTATCGAGTCACAGGTTGTTTAAACGCATTTAAGAATGTTTGAAGTTCTTTGGTAATTTATAGGATCAATTCAATTTATAGTAATCAATTCAAAATTTACAATAATACTAAATCTTGAAAATATTGTTTTGGTTGAAATGAGAAATCCAAATAAGTAGGCGAACAAGAACCTTTCATTTCACTTATTGACTGGAACTACCCATTACTAAATCAAAGCAGGCAAAGATAAAAAGGATATAAACGTAAAATATATCATTTATTTCCAAAAAGAAATCAAAATTAAAAAACATTGAGGTAGGAGCTAGATACCTTATAGGTGTCATAAGGCAGCGAGGCTCGACAAATATTTCCATCTGGTAATCATTATGAACACCTCGGAAAAGAACGATGATAACACCGATTCCTTGGGCCCCGATCAGGATGAGGAAATCCGCCAAGTACTAGATTCGATCGAAAGCTTTGAGGATGTCTGCAAAACATACAAATCGAAGAGTGCCCAAGAATTAAGCGCTCAATGGACTAGGGAGATTCCAAAATCTGATCAGGAAAAGGTTAAAACGGCATCCCCGGAAAATTGTTCTACACCAAAAACTGAAAAAACTAATACTGATCCGGTGGATCAAGATAGCGATTACACCGGCTTTCTTAAGCAGATGAGCGTTCGTTAGTGAGTTCAACTAATTTTAATTAGTTTATGTACACTTTTACACAATATTTGTGCGCCTTTAGTTCTCAATTTCGCATAGCTTCGGGTCAAGTGGTTCAACAAAAAGGACAAAGAATGGATTACCGCGATTACAGCTATAACGAATGTGAGTTTTAGTTTAATCAACGAGTAAAAAAATCATCAAATTAAATAAGAGTTCGCTTTTAAGCTAAGCTCGGATTAAGAAATTTAATAAATTGTTTAAGACTTTATGGTCTCTTTACTTTAGCTAAATGATTAGTAATAATATATTTATTAATGTTAATTAAATATTTGATAAATAATTGAAGTATGGATTTCGTTATATCTTTTGTTATATATTTGATAAATAAAATCTTCCCATCGTAGATCCAGCTAACTTCCCTCCTTCTGGATGGCAGTCGACTGACACAAGTGGGCAGGACTTGAGTTCCCAAGTTTCTTACGGACAGGGACAGATGGAATCTCCATCCTCCTCGTCTCAAAACTCCAGCTATTACGGCTATGGACATTCTCTGCCGGAGATTGGCTCAGGATCGGATGAGACCATAGTCAACGGACGACCCAGTGCGCCCACTTTAGCGGCCTCTGAAAATCCTTGCTGCTCCAAGGATTCCTGCGGCTGTTGCTGCCGTTCCAGAGACTCTGGTCAGCAGAACGCCTGTTGCCACTGCGATCAGGGAGTTTCTGGCCAGGCACAGCAGCTGATGCCTGTGCCCATAGGCGTAGATCCGAGTACCGGGTTTCCCATCTACTGCTACTCGACACCAGGCAATTATCCTGGCAATGCCATGTACTCCATGCCAGTCATGCAAATGGATCAAGGTCAACGCGGAGGCGGTGGCCAACATAATGTGGAGATCGCCAGCACATCGAGGGGAGCTTCATCATCTTCCGCTGTTTCGTCTAATCAAAATCCAAACAACTTGGATGTGGAAGCCTTCATGCGAAAGTACCAGAAAAGTGTTCAGCAGTGCTATGCGACTGCCCAACAAGGTAAAATAATTATATATTACTAATACTAATCAATTTCTATATAATTTTCCAAAATACAGGAATTCAACACTCCTTTGCCAACGCTCAAACTCAGCCGTATTATAGCAACTTCCCTCAGGGAACTCAACATTTTTTTAACAATCCCAATGAAGGGATAGGTGCTCAGCAAATGTTTGGCAGCTTTAATCCAGGTATGCACTATATTTTAATTAATTACCTATTTAATGTTGTACATATGTTTATCTCAGGAAATCAGCTGGGATCTCCCTATCAAGCTTTTGGCTCCGCTCTGGGTGCCCAACCATATTATTCCACTCCTGTTGCAGGTTCTGAACTATTTTTTATTATGAAAACTTACCACAAATTATATCATCCCTTAGGTCCCCAACCATTCTTACCCCCTTCATTCGCAATGCCAGCCCAAAATTTCTTTGGAAATAATACGGGTTTTATGAATGATTCACTGCAGGCCCAAACAGTATATTCCGCTGATTACAAACCATTTGCCAACGATGGCAACCATTTCAACCACTTCCCCAATGGCATAGACATCGGGATGACCCCGGAGTCCTGTCCCATCTACGGACCAGCTGGAACCGCTGGCCTGGCTGAGATGGGCTCCGGTGGTCCGGTCTATGGCATGGGCGGTGAAATGAATATGACTTCCTATCCTCTTAGTCAAATGAGGTAAGTTGTATAATTCCCTCTAAAAAGATTTAATTCTACCAATCTAAGATTACAGTAAATTTAAATAAAAATGTAAACTAAAATTATTACTTTCTATTACAGCTATTCAAGTCCTTATAGCTACGAGATGCCTGCTTCCTCGCCTGGCTACATTCCTGGAACAGGAATGCCTATGGCCAGTCCTCAAATGCAAACTGGACATCTGAGTGGTGGAAATCCAGGTAGATATAGACCAAATATTTCGAAATGTTTTTATTAATTAATATTTTTATCAACAGTGTTACCTGGCTAAAAAAAAGGAAAATCGTTATTTGTGGAAATGGAAAATGATATAATATGTATTGAGTACATTACAAAACTTCAAACTAATAAATCCACAATAAAGTAAAGGGGGTTTTTAATTTCCCTCAAAGAAAAAAGTTATCACAGGTCACATAATCTTAACTTTTATCTAAAAATTGTAATCTCTAAATAGGATGAACTCTATGATTCCGAAGGAATATTCCCATATACACCTCAAAGCCATTAACCTCTCTTGGTAATGACTCAGAACAAAGGAAGTTCCACCTACCCAGAACACGAACTTCGCATGGCATGCACTTTAAGTCAAAGCTAATTACAGTGAGCTAGTCTATTGATTTTAGCAGTAAAGTACACTAACCCGTGAGGGAACCCTCGCATTGAACCAACAAACGGGCGACATCAGTGACCCAGTTTTCGTGCAAAAACTAAGTCGGAAAAGTGGAAAGCGGAAAACGGGCCAGGCAAACAACGCCCCCAAATGCGAAAAGCCTGTATGTGGAGCGAAAGTGAAACGCAATATGGCCACAAACGAAGATTCTCGGGATGGGATGGGGGTATTCGCATATCTATATCCACTTGGTCTGTCAGGGAAAAAGAGGCAAATCAAATATCAAAGTGCCGACAATGAAAGCTTGGCCGGTTAATTGTTTGATGTTAAAGACCGAGGCAAAGTTAAGCCAAGTCAAGTTGAGCAAAGCCTTCTTCCCCGGATTCCCGGATTGACATTTACTGCCAACTATTCATTAATCTCATGATTCATAGACCCAACTCCAAGTCGGAAAAATCTAAACTATTTCCCGCCGAAAAAAAACGTGTGTCAACACCCACAAAACCGCAGGAGGTTGTCTAGAGTCTACAAACAACACGCGAAAGAAAGAATTTTCAAATGATTTATTCCTACGGGGCAACACCTTAAATTCGAGGAGAAGAAAAGCCATGAGTTTGTAACTCCTTCGGTCCCCGAATATGATTAATTGCCCCAACGAAATTTGTTTCTGACCATCAGTTGAACACAATTGCGCTTCATTATCGGCATTTTGGCCAGTGACCATCAGCGGCAGTCAATTACCGGTCGACAGTCTCGTTTCTATTTTTCGATTCTACCTACCAATCTGCTTCACAGTGCCACACTGAGAATAATATCACATTTAGATAATTTCATACATATTTTTGATAGATTTTTTAGTTTAAATTTAAATGAAAAGAATTGAGGTGGAATAATGCTTAGGTGATTAGGTAATTTTCGAAATACTAATTTACACTGTGTAATATTTTGTTTAAAGATTTTTAAATGCATTTATTAAACTTAAAATTGTTTAGCGATTTCGCGGAAACAAATATATGAGATCTTTTCTTTTCGTTACCTAAAATTGTTATAATTTCAGGCAAAGTATATGTATTTACTTGTGAATTTTTCTCTTAGTGCATTCCTCTTCTATTGCCTGGGTGTTGTTGTCAATGTCCTGCTGCGCTATTATTTGTCTTGTGTGCGAGACTCCGACTCGGTATAAATTGGTTTACGCCACTTTTGGGTCATTAACGAAATTGAAAATAGAGACAGACATAAGGAGCGTATTTGTGTGGAGGGAGCTGTAGAAGACCTGGGAAGACGGAGACCACCGAGCTCCTATTAAATCAGTGCCACCTATTTTGGTAGTTGGCCAATCATAATCATTAGACACCAACGGTGCTCGAACTGTCGGGAGTCCAGGGGATATATGTATAAAATTCTTCTTGGGAGATTTGGAGCAGATGGTGGGACTTCGATTTATCAGTTAAATCGGCGGTAATTGATAAGGCTTAAGTGCCATAAATGTAGAATATAAGTAAAGTTATTTGAAATCCTTAGATTTATTTAGTAATAAATTTTATAAGTTATTTATTGTTGATCTTTTTTAATTTAATGGAAAAATTTAACTAAATATCTTAAAGTTTTAAAAACAAAACAATAATACCGAAATATATAGAGCAATCTTAATAGATCCCTTAAGAAACTCTCAGCAAAAATTCCAGAATCCGCATAACCCTTTTTCAAGCCAACAACTCAATCCAAATCGGTTGGGAGAAAAATCCCACAAATAAAATTATCTCCGCCACGAGAGCGACTCACTTCTAGCCCAGGGCTAAACTCGTGTAATTTAATCAAGGGCACGACTTCGAGTAGGTAGCGACCAAAAGTCCAGACAAGACAATAAAATGAGGAAAAAGGGATCACGTCGAAAAAAGGAGAAATCAAAGCGTAACAAATTCGCCAGGCAGGACTTTCACCCGGGAAAGAAAGGAAAGTAGAGGACACGGATTAAGAGGCAGGCACGTGACTTCTCCGAGGCAGCGTCCTTTTGTTCGGACTGAAAGCCGATTATGCCCAGGGTAGCACATAGGCATTTGCACTTCATTACTATGAGTTATGATGGAACGCAGGCTGGTCAAGCTGGTCCTCGAACAATTATGTCACCCCGGGCCAAAGTTATTATTAGTTCTCTTCCATGCAAATCGATTTGTCGTCTATCCGTCGATATTTCTTTTGACATATGAAGGGTGTGACCAATTTGCATCGGCGAACCGGACACGCGTCGCAATCAGATCAAAGGGAGGGGACTCGCAGATAACTCCTATGCAAATGGTTGGAATCAATAAATGAGCTTGGACATAGGTCAATCGTTTCCACTTAGTCAAATGTCCCATAGAAGTCGAGTGCCTGCTTAGCCTGGGAACATTTATCCCGAATCGTAATCTGATTTTTCATGCATTTCACATCAGAGATTGGGAGAGGCTCTCGGTGATGCTGTCAACCGTTAATTGAATCGTCTATTATTCCTAAAATTAATATTAATACAATACATTAAAAGAAATAAATAATATAATACTTTATAAGTGAACAGTGATTGAATAGTGCAAGCCAGATTTAAAAAAAGTAAAAATTGGTGAAAGAAATATTTATAAAAAATGTAAAAAGCAGGAATTTAAGAAAGTATTTATTCACAACTTAGAGCTATTTGTTCTTATTTTTATACCCGTTACTCGTAGAGTAAAAGGGTATACTAGATTCGTGCAAAAGTATGTAACAGCTAGAAGGAGGCGTTTCCGATCCCATAAAGTATATATATTCTTGATCAGGGTCACTAGCCGAGTCGATCTAGCCATGTCCGTCTGTCCGTCTGTCTGTCTGTCTGTCTGTCTGTCTGTCTGTCCGTCTGTATGAACGCTGAGATCTCAGAAACTACAAAAGCTAGAAGGTTGAGATTTCCCACACATATTGTTTGGTTTCCTACGCAGCGCAAGTTTATTTTAGCCGAGCGTCACGCCCCCTCTAACGCCCACAATCGCCCACTAACGATTTTAAAATGGGTCCTGCGCCCACATCTTTAAAGATTTCCGAGAAGTATAAATGCAATTTTGTTGTGTATATTTATACCTATCGAAATGTAGAAGACATTTTTCAAATCGGACCATTCATTAAAAAGTTATACGCAATCAAAAATTATATATCTATCTCCCTCGCACTCCCTTTAGCTGAGTTACGATTATTCGTCGGGACACCAACCCGACACAGCGTTCGCACTCCCTTTAGCTGAGTGACGGGTATTAGATAGTCGGGACAACAACCCAACTATAGCGTTCTCTCTTGTTTTTTAAATAAATAAGTTATTATTTGACACCTATAGTATTTTATGGCAGTTATTGAAATTCTTATTCATAATCATATTGAGTAAAATTTATATTAAACATTTTAGTAAAGCATATCTTTTGTATAAATTTAATTTAGTACAATTACCTTTAAAAACAACAAATATTATTTATTAAAGAATTTGTAAAATATAAAAGAAAATTTGTAGTCAGCTCAATAAGTCAGCGCTAAGATTATGCTACTTGAATTCTGCAATCCAGATGTCGAATCTTTAATCCCCTTTTCTCACGGTTATCAGATTGCAAAACTCTTTTTACGCACTTCCAATACATAAATTCGCTGGGATTCGTACTCGAAACATTGGCAATGGATATTGAACCCTTTGCTAAGTGGCAAACATCAAGGGAGCATCGCTGGGCGTTGCAAATGACGACAAATTACACACACCAACTGCTAGGCCTGTGTCTTCGGTCGGGTATTTACAAGAAATTTGCAAACAATATTGATTTCGAAGCGATCAAAATAAAAATTAATCAATGCACTTAAAAATTTCAAAAAACACACATAAAGAAGCGAACTCAATGACGTGGAAAAGGGGGAAGGGAAACCCCTTTTTTTCGAGCAACCCCTCGGGTGACTTTAAAGTGCTCGAAAGGAACTTAACTAATTTATAACTTATGACTGCACGGCCATGGACAATTTTCCATGCCACTACAAAGGAGAGCAAAAGCCAAAATTTGACATGAGTAGCGGTCGCTTAACCAAAACCATGTGTAAACCCCTTACTTTTTTAAATTTCAAAGCAAACCCCTTCAGTCGGGACATGTGAGTGTGCACATGTCAGCAAGCGAATTAATCGAAGAGAAATGATTTATTTAGCGCTCGGACAGACGAAACGCTTCGGTGACCCAGGGAAAGGGTTAGATTTCGATGCAACCCCTCGCGCAATTTCATTTCGCACCCAAATCAAATTTAAACTGTTTTCAAAACTGCACCTTTCGGCTCATTGATGGGCATTTATCGGTCGAGAGGGTTGGTCCTGCATTTTGGGTTTCTTTTTTCCGTTTTACTCGCTGTGAGAACTGCAATTTTTTATCCGCAAATTCACACTGCAATTTGTATTGCTTTTTTCATAGGAGGGATGCCGTTTTTTCTGTTGTGAGTTTCTTCCTTCAAAATATTTACGACTTTTGATTTGTAATGGCATTTCTTAGCGGTTTGATTGATTCGAGTGGGGATGATGTTTTGATGCATTCAATTTGCTGAAAATTTACAATTAATAAAAAATTGCAGTAAATCCATAAAAAAGACTTTTATGGGAGTATTCTGTGGGAATTTTTCTTCATTTATAGCTTGGCACAATTCTAAATTTGGAATATTCAGACAGCTAAAAAAATAAAGATATTTATTAAAAAAAGAAAAAATAAATTATTTTTTCCTCAAAGCTTAAAATGTCTATCGTATTTTGGTATTCTCTTAAAATTAAGGAATTAGAATATTTTTAATATATTTCATTTCAATATTTAAGAGAATAACATATAAGATTAAAATATTTAAAAATACTTTTCAAGTCGTAGAACATATTTGATCAACAGTCAGTACTTGGTTGGGCTTTCAGAAATAATCAAAATTGGGTTGTGAAAATGTCGTACCCGAAACTGGACAGTAAGGTTTTGCAGAGCCTGAAGGACGTGGCCCAGAAGCTGCGGATCCACTCGATCACCTCGACGCAGGCGGCCAAGTCGGGCCACCCGACGTCCTGTGCTTCGCTGGCCGAGATCATGACGGTGCTGTTCTTCCAGCAGATGCGCCTGAACCTGAAGCATCCCCGCGATCCCTCCAGCGATCGATTGATCCTGTCCAAAGGACACGCCGCTCCCATCTTGTATGCCGCGTGGGCGGAGGCGGGACTCTTTCCGGTGGAGGAGCTGCGCAACCTGCGCAAGGTGGACAGCGATCTGGAGGGACATCCAACGCCCCGGCTGAGCTTCATCGACGTGGGTACCGGATCCCTGGGTCAGGGCATCTCTGTGGCCGCCGGCATGGCCTATGTGGGCAAATTCATTGACAAGGCCGCCTATCGCACGTACGTTCTCGTCGGCGACGGCGAATCCGCCGAGGGAGCCGTCTGGGAATCGCTCCACTTTGCCGGTCACTACTGCCTGGACAACCTGTGCGTGATCTTCGACATGAACAAGTTCTTCTGCTCCGACATTTCCACCGAAATGGAGGTCTACCGGGAGCGCTTGGACGCCTTTGGCTTCAATGCCCTGGTTCTGAATGGCCACGACATCGACGAACTGGTCAAGGCCTTCCAGAATGCGGCCAACACGAAGGGCAGGCCCACGGCTCTGTTGGCCAGGACCATTAAGGGAAAGGACTTTCTGGGAGTCGAGGGGGTGGACGAAATGCACGGACAGCCACTCGGAAAAAGAGCTGAGGCAGCAATCAAGCATTTGCAGGTAAGATTAGATTTAGAATAAAAAGGAATTGATTGTGAGGAGATTTTAGAACACATTTTGTTGTTGCACATTTTTTGAATACTACATTTCGTTGAACTGTTTACCAGAGTAGGGCTTGTTCATCCCCATATCCTCCCCCGTGGATTCCAGCATTATATTGTGGCATCTTTACTGTCTGAACTTGAGAAAAGTACAATTTTTACGTTAATCCTTATCCTAATATTAATTCATACAAAATCGGTTAAAAAACGTACGCTATTAAATTGTTTGTGGTTTAACTCTAAAAACTAGAACTATTAATAATATTTAAATTCATTGAAAATTCCGACACAAAAATAGAAAAATAATTTAAGTAGAGACAAAAATTTAATATCTTTTTTTGTTTTGTTTTTATGGAAATTTTTTCTAATTACCTATATATTTCGTTGATCATACAATTTTTATTAAAGCTACCAAGGACCAAAGGGCCAATTACTGGCATTGTAAGGTAATATTTTAATAATATTATTTATTACCCCCTTTAGATGATGATTGCCAATCCCAACGTGCGATTGTCGCCGAAGAAGGTGGGAAAGTGTGGCCACGCCCCCGAGGTGGATATTAACAACATAATGCTGTGCAGTCCGCCCAACTATCGGCTGGGCGATTCGGTGGCCCCTCGCTTGGCCTACGGCACCGCCTTGGCCAAAATCGCGGCTGACAACTGCCGGGTGATAGCCCTCGATGGCGATACGAAGAACTCCACGTATGCGGACAAGATGAGGAATGCATTTCCGGAGCGATTTATCGAGTGCTTCATAGCGCAGCAGAATCTGGTGGGCGTGGCGGTAGGCGCCACCTGTCGGCGACGCACGGTGGCGTTCGTCTCGACCTACGCCACCTTCTTCACGCGGGCCTTCGATCAGATCCGCATGGGCGCCATTTCGCACACGAACGTGAACTTCGCGGGCTCCCACTGTGGCTGCAGTGTCGGCGAGGACGGACCCTCGCAGATGGGCCTGGAGGACCTGGCCATGTTCCGCAGCATTCCCGGCAGCACGGTCTTCTATCCCACGGACGCCGTCAGCACGGAACGGGCGGTGGAGCTGGCGGCCAACACGAAGGGGGTGTGCTTCATCCGGACCACCTATCCGAATACCACGGTGATATACAACAACGACGAGATCTTCGCCGTGGGCCTGGCCAAGGTGGTGCGCCAGAAGCCGTCGGATGAGGTGCTGTTGATTGGGGCCGGGGTCACACTGTACGAGTGCCTGGCGGCGGCGGAGAGACTGGAGGAGGACTGCATCACGGCCCGGGTGATCGACCCGTTCACAGTGAAGCCTCTCGATGTGCGACTAATCGTGAAGCACGGCAAGCTGTGCAAGGGCAGGATCGTCGTGGTGGAGGATCACTACCAGCAGGGCGGACTCGGCGAGGCAGTGCTCAGTGCCCTGGCCGACCAACGGAACTTCGTGGTCAAGCATCTCTATGTGCCCACTGTACCGAGATCGGGACCACCGGCCGTTCTGCTGGATATGTATGGCATCTCCGCCAGAAATATCGTTAAAGCTAGCCTCGCCATTATGAAGAAGTGATATATCTTGTTTTTAAAGAATGAGAAAATTATGACATATCAAAATCTTTGCAAATAAGGAAATGTATACTACAATTTTAAAATTTAACCATTAGCTGTACTGCAAAAATTAGAAGTCAAATTTTATTTTCTACATTTATGACAATTTCTAAATGTACTTTATATTAAATATACAGGTATTTTTTAGGTAACTGCAGGGTAATTTATTTACTAACTTTTCATATTTACAAGGGTATAGAAAAAAATAAAAAAATGTTTTTCTTGGTCTTTTTAAAACAAACAAGTTTTTGTGTGTTCCTGGTAACTATGTTTTAGTTTGACAAAACTAACCCTTTTTAAGTGTGACCTGCCTCTGTCCCATTCATTTTGGCCCTTGAACTCTGGCTTTATGTTTTGCTCTACCTGAACTAATGAGCGTGCAACGTGAAATGCGCTACATGCCACCGAAGTTCAAAGAGAAATTGCATTTGGCGAAAATCAATTGGGTGGAACTAATTTAGGGACTTTTCACAAACGATCATTGACTGCGTTGGCGTTGGTTTCGATTTCGTTTTCGATTTTGATTTTGACATATTTATTTGGAGTGAACCTTTTGCTAAGGCGCAACCAATTGTTGTCGCCCTTGGGTTCTGGGTTGATTCATTTTTGGATGTGGTGCTAATGGCTTTTTCGAGCTTTAAAATTTAAAACCATGTTTACAGAGTATTATCTAAATTTTTGGGAATTGTATATGGATGAAATTTCCTTTGTAATAAACAAAATTACTGTTTTCTTTAAGTTTATTAATAATTTCACACACCGAAAAGCGGAAAACTTAATTAATAACCTAAAATAATAAAATAATATATTTTCAGAGCCAAGATAACAAGGGTATCTTGTGGTCGAGTCACTTTAGTTTCTCTCTTCATATCTTTTGACTGACCAAGGGCCACTTTAAATTATCCGTAATGACATCCGTTGCCATCCAGTGTGGCATTCATCCATTCATTCATCTGCCTCTGCGGCTGGAGAGATCCATTAATTGTTTTTCGCTTCCTAATCAGTACTTTATATTGTTTGTTGGTTTGGGCTTGGGTCAGGAGGACAACAGGATGTGCCTCTGTGTGTGGCTAAGGGTTGGCCAAGTGGACAAAGTATCCCTTCCGTTTCGATCGAAATTTACGATAAATGCTTTAAAAATTCTATACACCTCAAATGCACAATGGACGAACAGATAGCGGAGAAGTTTTCAATTTCTGTTAAGTGAGCATGGCTAACTAGATTGGTTAGAGATCATAAATTCAACAACATGAAAATAGATTAGATGACATCATATGTGGAGTGCCTTTTGTTCGCAGCACACACATGCGAAGGAGTTGGATGTGTGATTTGGGGTAGATTTATGAGGGAACGACTGCACCTGCTTGAAAGTCTCCCCTCCCCACACACACATATATCATTTAATGAGGAAAATCTGAGCCGCGAAATTTGTAAGCAATTATTTGCGGCCAAAAAAGAGCCCAAAAAACAATCATCAATCTCTGTCTGCAACTGTTAAAAGCACATGCATTTAAATTAGACATTTAAGCCAGCAGCCCCCCCCAGAATGTTCATTCCCCAATATTCAAATTGAAGCAATTCAGTAATACTTGTTAGGTTACAACAGTAAATTACCCTTTGTAAAATATATTATTTTATATTTTTTAATTTTTCTGTATATATTCTTTGAAATTTATAATACACAAATATTTGTTGAAGGTAGTACACAATAAGTCTAAATTCTAATTTAAAAACAAATCTAACTTCCATGACATAAACATATATCCCCCAAGCACTTTACAAAATAAAAGGTAAAAAGGAGAAGTGTCAAAAGCAAACGCCGAACAGGAGTTTCGCCGGAAATGCTTAATAGGATTTTTACAATTTTTACTATTTTCCTGTGGAAGCTACTGGTTACCAGTCAGTCCCCCTTTTACACCACTCTCTCCTGCCTTCTGCTCTGTCTTTTTTTTTAATTTTCCAAATATTTTGCCTTTCACCGGATGAAAAAAGGGGTTAGAAAAATGCCAAAAGAGCGCACCCCTGTGTCGCAATGGAAATTCTTTTACACTTTTGCTTTCCTTTTTCCTTGGCTGTTGTTACTCACAGGATATGGTTATTCTTGTTCCTGTTGTTAGGGTTTCATGCACCGCATAACATTAAAATTCAGATTTTGATTGATCATCCTGGTTGAAGCGAATTAGAGAGTATGAGTTCGGGGTCGTAGATGTATTGAGTGTAAAGGATTTTGTATGAAGGATGTGAGACGAAGGTATTTTTAGAGGTCGGATACGTGTCCGCAGTTTGTTAAAGCCTTGTCTAACAATGTTGTGCATGGAGGAGGAATTTTTAAACTTGATAAGGAATATTTAATAAATAGTGGCAAACGTGTATTAAAAGTCTTGAATATAGATAATGGTAGCTTAAAATAAATGGATAAATGGATTTAATGAACATATTGCTAGCTAAAAGTAATGCAATAAATTCTATAAAATAATTTAATTTATTCTTTTTTGGATTTACATGACCCACAACTTCTTTGACATTTATTTTTTCTTAAATTTAAATAAAAAACGTTTGTAGGTAACGTAGAAAGAATGTTGCCAAAGGATTTAAACTGAATTTACATAAACTTACGATTGAATTCTATGAATCTATAATTTATACACCATTTACTTCCCTTGCTAAATCAACTTTAAAATATTTATGCAATTGCTGGATCCTTGAAAGACACATTTAGAGGGCGTCACGCTAGCCAAACTTTCCCAGGGAAATTTACAAACATTTGCCCGAACTCCTTCCCCGCTTTCTTTTTGCTTTCACACAAGCGTCAGTGAAATCCAACGAACCACTTAAATATGCATGAAACGGCTACAAAAATTCGATTAACAACAAATGCATATTGATGGAATAATTGAGCAATTCTAATGAACCACAACAGCAGCGGGGCAGCATTGAAAAAAAGCCAAACAAATTGCAATTGCCAATGGCTGGAAGTTTTTCCAAGGAACCGCAATATTTGCATTTGATTGACAACAAAGTTAATTGAGTGTGAGCCGAACATTTGCATAGAGCCAAGTAAAAACAAACATTTATAATATTTAACTATGATTTTTTTTAAGCGTTAGCCAGAAACCCTTTGGGTGGTTTCAGGGGGTAGAACCATTAATTCGCCTGACAGGGCTGAGGTGAGGTGACTGATGATAGGGTGTTGAGTCGACTCGAGACGAGGTGAGAGATCTCCCAGGCCTAAATGTCATTTCGATGAATTTATAATTGGAAATTATGTGAATTTTTCTATTCGGGATTTACTTTTTTTCCCGTTTGCTCGAGAATTAGCATATTTTTTCGCTCTCCTCGGCAGATCCTTTGTGTGTGTGTGATTTAATTAATGATCTTATGCAAAGTTCGCCTCCGATTCTGTGATATTTTGCATACATGTGTTGGCAGCTAACTGCCGATCATTAATCAGATCGTCTAAGTAGCTGCTTGAACTCATTAACCCTTTTGTTCGCCCAGACAGCCCAACGAAATGGCAACAAAAGTTTTGTCTTATATAAATATTTGCATTGCCGCCAACCATGAGAACGGAATTTTCTTGCAACGCAATAACGGAATACAAAACGAATCCGAAAAAACAGATATCCTTATTAATGATCTTGCGGATGTCACACAGGAGAAAAATCCTATTTCCGCACTTTTAATTAGTGGAAACCCGACTGCCAGCAACCCCGAAACTTAGAAACCATTTTTTCTCGAAAAACCCCAACCCGCTGTGAAATCTTTGCCATATATCAAATATTTCTTATTTGCCTCCTATCAAGATGCCCATTAAGTCAATAAGTGGACTCTGATATTATGCCATATTTTGGAAATTGCTAAAAAAAGAAAGAAAATCAAAACGAAAAACAAAGTTTGGCCAAAAGTGCTGCCGCGGCAGACGTGGAAAAACTGCCGGCGATAAACACGAATAAAACATTTGAGGTACATTATGTCAGGCCTAAGAATTATTGTCACAGATTGTTTTTCCCAGATAAATCCTGAGTTATGGGGGCAAACGCAGCGGGTAATAAAAAACACTATACAGAGAGCATGGAAATATCTTGGTTATGGGGGTTGCAGATTGCATAACATTTCGTATTAGAAAAGTTGGAAAGTCACGTAAAAAATTTCACATATTTGAACACATTCAAATTTTTTATTGGCAAAAGATAAAACCTTTCTAACGAAATGATTGCGATTTTTTTTCTAAAAAAGGAATTCACAATCACAATAGCTCTTTTTTTATGGTTAATAATTATGACTGAATTATAAAATAAATGTATCTTAATCTTAGAGAATTTGGTTTTCACAGATATTCCCAATTTGTTATGGAGATTTTCACTACTTTCTAAATTTAAGCGCTATCTCTAAAGAGATATATTTCATCTTAATTGCTAAAAATGTATCGACTCACCTCTTTCCCAATAATTCATAATTAAAACGCAGAATAGATATGTTTTACTTTAAAAAACGAAACCAATGAATTATGCGGGTAGATAAACAGTTAGCTTCAGCTTAACCCCATCGAGCTGCAAATTAGACCCAGGGCGCTAAGTCACGCGAAAAGAAAAAATAACCAATTGGGGGGATAAATCAAATAATTAATTGTTTCGTAATTCGGTTGTGTGTCCAAACATCATTAATATCTATAAGATTTGACGAGGCCCAGAGCTACCGCAGAGATCTTGTTGGCATTAACCCACCACTTTGACTTCTGGGACCCGCATAAAGCCTTCGGGGCATCGGTTTCGCAGCCAATTTCAATTAAACGCGCGGATTAAAACACAGAAACCGAGTTCACGGCGACTTTCGCACTTTGTCGTCTCTCCGACAAATTGGGATAAAATATAAATACATAATGGCATGCATGAATCATTAATAAAAATCATAATAAAGGCGTGGCGAATGACGTCACGTTTTTGTGATTAGCTTCGTGGAGAAACCAAAG